ATATCCTATTATATTTCAGAGCGGGTAATTTTTTAATACCACGATACACAATTTCGCATGCTTCAAAGAACTTTCGCTCCGCCGAAGCTTTAGAATTATGAAAAAAATCTTTACACTTCCATATTAGCTACCATTTCCTCTCTCGGTACTTTGAAAAAAGGAAATTTAATACGGCATCTATAAGTGGTATCGTATCTTGTATCACAGTGACATGCGGAATCACGCGGTAATAGATCGGCCGAAACGCGTAGGTAACTTTTGGCCGCAATTAGCTTACGTTTTGATGCGCGGCCGTCGAAGGGAAAAGAGGCCCGACGACACATAAGAGACGGACGCTCCTTGGCCGAGCGTCACACCTGACGTCACATACTCGTTAGGGGGCAGATGGCCCCCCTCTCAAGCGTGACGTTGGCCCACAGGGTACCTGGCGGCGTCTATCTATGGGGCCTTCCCCTCACCTTTTGTCTCTCTCGCTCTCTTTGATATTCCATAAGGCGAGGCAAAATAAAATAAAACTCCCGCGAAGGGAGTTCCCTTCTCCTCGCGCACACACGCGCAGCTGCTCAGGTAGCACGAGCTACTTCCACATTAGAGGACGGAACTGGCATGGGGTGCCCCACTGGTGCCCCCATTGAAATTCCGTCTGGCCAGACGGCTCCCTTCGCGCGCGCGCGTACGAGTCGAGGGGGAGCGAGGAAGAAAAAAGAAAGAGGTTATCAAGGTGACGGAGGTACGATCGATTTTTGCGGGGGTATTAGTGTACGGAAGCGGATTCGTAGGGAGTGCGCGCGATCCCCGGCACGGAAGGGAACGAGCTCACTTCCGAATGCCAACGTGTACGCGCATTCGTCACGCATCGGAGAGCATGCACGCGCTCGATTATCACCGAAACAGGAAAGCCTATCTTTCCGTTTTACATTAGAAAGAGAGAAAGAGAACACGCGATTCTGTATACGCGAGTACACGAGATCATACCGCTTCATAATTATCTACCGAATTTACTCCATTGAGAAAAAGAGGCGATTTTGAATTCCATCGAGCCTCGCTTGGACGAACGAAGCTCGTTCGAACGGATGTTAAATCGAACGTGCAAATTATAATTATCGTAACAAATGATTAGCTGATTCGATAATCGTGACGAGTCGAGCAACCGCGTCGGTGCAATTTTCCGTCGCGCCAATGCGTGATTTGTTTAACGGATATATTCGGCTTTTCCTCCTTTTTTTTCGAACGACGAGAGTAAATTGGCGCTGGCAAAACGATGAATGCGCGTCGTCGATGCATTCGGTTAGGATTCCCGAACAATCGTAGACAAGTTTAACAACCTCCTCACCGTGCGCTCTGATTTCACTTAAATCTACCGAGATGTCTCGTTAGGGCGACGACGCGGTCATAGAAACGGTCAAAGAAACGTCTTCTTCCCTTTTTCCGGGTCCCCAACTGGCCATTTTTGGATGAGCTGCGAAAGACCAGCGGGGTAGCGAGGGCCTAATTACGGCAGGCGCAACGGTGAAAGCTTTCACAAGGTGGCGGAATTGTACGACGCATTCGTGCAAAAGTGGCCCCCGCACTTAAACGATTTCTAAACACCTAATAACGAGGCCGTTTTCATTCGATGAAGAAAAGGTGAAGGCGAGCGATTTGTCGCCGCTCGTAAATCCGTCCGGCTAATTCTCAGCACGAGACATCCGGTTTTTCCGGCGAGGCGTTGCGGGGGCGTTTCGTGTGGTAAACATAATGTCGAGCCCCGTGAAACCTGCCTCTGCCCCGACCTCTCTTTTGCGTCCCTTCTCATCTCACCGCAACGCGTGCCAGCCGTGGCTCGGCGAATCGCGGCCTCTCCGCTAACAAAACACCTGGGGATATCTTTTCTCTCTTCGCAGTCTCCTTTTCTTCGAGAGTTATGCGCTCTATTTATCATGTGCACCGCGACATTTGTACTGCACGATCGCATAAGTTATGAAAATAAACTCGCACGCGGCATCAAACCCTCGCGACCCTTCTCGAGTGAAAATTTTACCTCCACATTAATCCTGCAAATACCGTCGAATCTTGAGAGGATCAATGGATAATCTCAATTTGCGTTCTCTGTTTAGAATCTTTATTGGACTTGGAAATTTCGATAGAATTTGTATATTTAAAAGAAGTGAGACGAAAGAAGTAAAGTTAGAAATAGCGGTTGCATAAACACAATAAGGACTTAAATTTGATTTCCCTACGGTAACGAGATGAAAGAAAAATGTTATTAGATTTAAAGTCGCGTCCAAACGAAGTATTGTTAGAAAAACGACCGCACTTATGGAACTCGGATATTTCTTGTTGCATAAGATGCGTTCCACATATCAACGATTCAATAAATCAGACAACAAAATAAAATATAAATAAAAACAATAAAAATCAGAGATTCCCGAAATCATACAATAGACAACCGAAATTTCAATTCGGATTTATTCTTTTACGTTTAAACAGCGGAGAGTTGACTGGTATCTAAGAAAACAATATTCTGTCTCGCGTCCATAAGGAAGCGAATCTCAATTGATGATCAATCAAACATTGTTTCCACGTTCGACTGTGAATTGTTAATATTAATCGAAAAATGAATTCCAAATGTTCATTTTCACAGCAATTGATATTTTCTAATGGTAGATATACCGAAACAGTTGAAACAGTCCATCCGTTCATTGAAAGCTCGGACGCTCGCGACGAGAGGAAATTATTTGGCACTCTCGTCGCAATCGCCAAAAGCAGCGTACCTCTTCTCGGGGTACGCAGACACCTAACGTTGTCCCTTTACGTATCGCTATCCACCCACTCGAGTTACCACTCGTGCGCATTCAAACGTAGCGTCTGGGCACAAGGCACGATGAAAAAGCAAAAAAATAAACGGGAAAAGCGGAACTAGACGAGCGAATAAAGTAATAGAGGGAACGATCAGAGGGCGAAAGGAAAAAACACATGCGTAACTGTTGCCTGCGCTTCCCCCCGGCCGTCGTTAAGTGTGGAATTTCGTTCGCGGCAGATTGGTCGATCCTCTCAACGGTATCCGGCATCAATTTCGAGGCTCTCGTCTATAACGGGAGATTAAGAGTACTAATAACGTACGAGCGGAGAACCGTTCACGGGGCCGCATACTACCGCTACACATCGTCTTTCGCCGCATGGCGCACAATGACTTCGAAACATATGTCGAACGACGGCGCGCTCTTCCTTCGCTTTCTCTCTCTCTCTCTCTCTCTTTCTCTCTATTTCCCGACGCCGGCCCGCATCGAGATGCGTTATTAACGTGTGCGCGCGAGGGTGAGTGAGCGGCGTGTGGGAGGTAGGAGCACGAGCGTGAGCGAAAAAGCATCGTCGGTCGAGCAACCGTGCTCGAAGAAAGAGGGAAAACGGTGCAGCAGAACGACGAAGGTGAAGGGGCAAGAGGTGGGGTGAGAAATCCATTTTCACGTTCCGACCGCCGTCGGTTTGTAGACACGTGGGTGGAAGACGGGGAGCGAGCCATCTGGCCGGAGCCTATCGTTCCGAAGGTATGCTCCCGCGGCGCGAGGGTCTTTTAAATCCACCACCAGAGACACGCACCTTGAGACCTGTCCCGGCCAAGGACCCTCGAACGCTTGGCCCTTTAAAAATCGACACTGCGCCGCGAAGACACCGTGGCGCCCCCCTCGCGTCCCCCGGCGTGCCTTCCGATTTCGAGGGTAACCGCCGGATGAATAGTAGCGCGCCTCTTTTCATTTCCGCCCGTGCGTTCTTTCATTCGGCCGGTCTCAATGAGACCCGAGCTGGACGATCGCGTATTCAATTTGTCTCGCGCCTTAATAACCTCAACGTCGGAAGAACGCACCTGCGAGGTGTAACTAAGCCACTCGAATCGAGCGACATGGCCAGCGGCGCCTCTAATTGACACTCGTGTGTTATTGGGCGCGCGAAATGAATATAAATATTTCGCGATAATCTCTTACATGGCTGAAACAGAGAGGAAAAGAGGGGGAGGTAGAGAGAAAGAGAGAGAGAGGGAGAGAGAACGCGCGCGTTCTTCGAAAAACAATCGATGCGCGGTCGTAACGAGACAACACCGGACAATCCCCGGAGCGGAGGGTGTATCGACATTACGCGAACACGCGCGTCGTACGCGGCGCTGTGTTTGCACGGAAGATCAGCGTATTGTTGACAGTCGACCGACAAAGCCAAATTAATTTGCAAATCGCTCTTCGAGCGGATCGCGGAACATTGCGTCCGCTATGATTGCGCAGCGCGATCGCGAGAGAGGGTGGTTATGTTGGCGCAAGAGAAGGAGGAGAACGACACGCGAGACAGAGAGGGGTGAAGCGGGATGTCGTCTTCAAGTACGCATCGAGAGATCAGGGAAGAAGCAAAAAAAAAACGGGGAATAAGAGAGAAACAATTGCGCAGTTCTAGACGCGCCGCTACGGCGGGCGTTTCCTAACTCGTGACTCCATTTCGCACATCACCCCCGCGTCCTTCGCTCGCATCGGTTCCCTTTTGTATTCCTTACGTAGCGATTCCTCGCTGATCCGTGTTGGATTTCCGTTCGCGCATTCGCGGAGGTTGCATCGCTGCCGGTGCTGACAGGTGCATACCGTCGTCCTCGACGGGTTGACAGTGAGACTTTTATTAGGGAAGGAGCGCAGCAAGCGTGATTACGTGTACCTTACAGCCCGCCCCCTCTCGAGCGCCTCTCCCCCGCGATATCCTTTCTTCCTCGTTTCTGCAACTCCGACGCCGAAGCGTCATCATTGACGTCGCGCGACGACGAAACGGCCACCACAACGCGCATTATCCTACCCCTGACTCTCGGCATTCATATGTGCGCGCATTGGCGTAGATCCCGGCGAGAAATTGTCGGCGGTGCGATTACAATGGGCGATCGCTCGCCACGCTTTGTTTCGCGCGAGCGACAAGTATCGAGCTTCCCGGCGGAAGGGAACTCCACTTTTCACGGGTCGCGAACGTCGCCGCGGGAGTGATAATATACTTACGTTGAACGTTGCCGTGGCGGTGCGAAAGGTGCCGTCCCCTGAAACAAAAAGTATAATTGGCTTAATCACCTCGTAACGTCGAGTATCGCGAGAATATCGTCCTATTTGCTTTTCTTATTTTACTTCTATAGCGATTCGTTATGCGTCGCACACTTTAAATGGTATAAAAAATCACATTGTCGATTTTTTTCACCCGATGTCGTGAAATTTTGATCCTTGCACGAACTCCCGGGACGAATATTTCGTTTTCGCCTTTTCCCGTTTTAATAATGTCGCATTTTTTACGATCAACGTAACTGTAGTAATTTTATGCGGAAAAATACTGCTTTCTCTCTCTGTGTCGAACTTTCGGACATTATCACGCGGCATTAACAAATTTGTCAAAGTGAAATTCCAGAGAGCTAAGCCGCACTTCTCGAAATTTGCATATCTACCTCGCCAATGCCGCCCAAGGCGATATTGTCCTCACAATGAAACCCTCTCCAAAGCTCGCCACCATCCCCGACACAGTCGCATGGACGATGCAACGCGCGCGTGTCGGCGACGAGCTTTTGCTTCCCGTCACACGTGCCAAAGTTCACGAATTTCGATCGCGCATAAATATCGAGGCGATATAAATATAGCACGCGCACTGCGTTCTACCGAGACTCCTCGCGATACTCCGCCGTTAAAAATAAAACCGTTTTCGCGCGACGGGAATTATTTAACTGAAAGTGTGCGTAAAGCAGAACCGTCAAAAAGTGTCCGCGTACTTGTCCACAGAGGAAAAACTTTCTTCGAATTTAGTATACAAATTTGTTTGACTTGGGTTTATTTAAAAAATATAAACAATCGTTTAATATAATTTAATATCAAATATTATTTTGTTTGAATAAGAATGTTGTTGTTTCATTAGAGTAAACCATGTTATTTGATGGAAAAACAGTATTATTTAGAGGAAATAATATTTGATTTTCAATAAAAGAAAAATTCATTTTATTATATATTAAATACTGTTCCACTAAAACAAAGAAGTTCTTTAATAGTTTTCTAACATAATGTTATTTCTATCAAATAATTATTATTTGTGACGATCGTAATGTTGTAACTGTGGTAATGTTTGAATGAAAATACGAAAGAAATATGTTATTATGACATAAAGATATTTATTGTTTGAGAAATCAAACAATCCTGTTGAATCAAACATTCGTTTGTTTGCTCAAAAAGACGAATTTGTTACAATTAAAGAAATTTTATTAAATCCAAAGAAATCTTTTTCTCTGGGTATGCTAGCAATAACATACTTTCTTTTTCCTTCAAAGCGTCTTCTCGCGTAACAAAATATCCCGAGGAATTACTTTGCATCGCGCTGTGTCTCGATCTTTATTATTCGAGCCCTTAAGTATGACAACGTGGACTTCTATACACTGCATTGTTCCAACTAGGAATGCACAAGGGAAGGATCGAGGAAGTAGAGCCCGGTAGGAGGACGAGGGCCAAGGAGGTCGTAGGTGTGAGGTGCTGTTCGACGCCAGTATCTGAGACAGTTTCGGCCGGCAAGACTTAACAAATAGGTAAAGTTTCGTCGTGAGGATGCCAGAGTTTGCGGATTCTCCGGCGCAGCCTCGACATCCTCTGTCCTCTTTGTTCTTAAGTTTATGATATATTAGCTGCTCTCTGCCATGTCCTCCCATCTCTCTCTCTCTCCCCCTCTCCCTCCCTCTCTTTCCCGTTCTTTCCCTATCCATCTTCCAACGTTCCTTTCCTCCGCCCTTGTCACACGTTCACTGCCTGGAGATTTGGCCAATTTATGCGGCTCCGAGATTTAAGTTGGTTAAGTGAACTTAACCGACGACACACCGAGATATAATGAAGTCGGAAAGTTCGTTGTTAATTAGAAAACTTGAGATAATGGCGGCGCGATACTATCAAAAGAGGAAGGACACACTCACCGACAGCGATGCCTCTCATTCTACGGAGAACGCGCGGAAAACTTTCCGGGAGGTTCTATCAAGCACGATATCAATTGTGGCGTTGATACCCTCACTGCGCGCTTCACCTGAGACGCTTCGACATTTGCGCGGACGACAGGTCTATTCGCGCGAATCTCCGTCGAGTCGCGTTCTCAAACGACCCTCAAACAGGACCTTCCGCCGTCTTGCACGCAGACGCCGCCGCGGGATTAATAAACTTTGTCGCGTTTCGGCTTAGCCCGCTGGCGTAACTCCGCGCACGGGAGAGAAAATCAATACCCAATACACATCCCAAAGGTCCGCTTATACTTGTCGCGCTATCTCGCTTTTATCTCGATCGTATCTCGCATATTGGCGAACGCCTAGCATCTACACACACACGTACTCGCGCGCCCCCTCCCACCCCCGCACACGAACACGAGAACGGAGGACACGCGTAACGCGGCCCTGCGACACACGTATCGGCGGCTGCCGTCACCCGCGTACACGCACGCACACACACGAGCCGAGCCCCGTTCGCACACCCTCTCATGGGCTCTTCGGGGTGACAGATGGCTTTGTAGACAAAGAACTTAGCCGACCGGTTTTCGTGGACGTTGCGTAACCCGATAAAAGCAAACTCGAAGTCGAACGCACGGAATATGGCGGAATCGCCGCTCGTTCTCTCCTACGAGCGGTGGGTGCGATGGGGTTGAAAATCAAATCTAAGCGTCTCGATGGGAATCTTCGTCCGGCCAAAGATTGCTCCTCTTGGAGTCGTCCCGCTATCACGCGCTCTACCATCTCCTCCATCCCTCCCCTCTCCCTTCTCGCGTGCTGTCCGCGTCACCCCTTAATGATCAATCAGATATTCCCCCCTTTTCGAAGCGGGACGGCTGAAGCCGCGTTGATCGCGATTGAAGTGTACTTCGGTGCCGTTCTACGGCGATTAGACGATTAGGAGAGTCCTTTGGCAGGAAAGCACGTTACGCTCGCGGCGATCGCTCGCGTCGAGTATAGAATTAGTCGCGCGGCCATTGTGTGCTAATGCTCTCTCTCTCTCTCTCTCTTGACGCTCTTGCGTGCCCGCGTTAAACTCTTTTCCATTGCGGCGCACGATTACTACACGGCTACGCGTAACAGACTTAAAAATAGTTTTCTAATGCGCCGCGCGCCAGGGGAAGTACACACGCTGATATATTATAACGCGCCCGTATAGTTATGACGTACGGCGAACGTTGTTGGAAACAGATTTATAATTAGTTTCCTATTGCCGCGACCGCGTAAAGCGTATATACGCGCTCGTTAGGTATAGAGTCGGCTTTGACGATTTAGCCTCGATACGCTTGTCCGAGCATTGACACGATATTTCTGGATATGGATTATATATTATACGCATTATTCATTGTGCACGCTGCATCATTTATGCGGCGCTTGTTGTACGAAAGACTACCCGAAACATTCGCTTGTCCGTTAAATATGAAGTAAAATAGTTATTGGCTGCGTGTCGTGGCGTTTATATAATCATTGGAGTTCAAAGCCTCCCCCCCCCCTTCCGCTCTCCCGTTGCATTCGTTTTCGCGTATGTACAGGCTAATTTTTTTATTACAGAGATCACGCGCGCTCCCTTAAATGAGGTGATAGATTTAACGGCGTTAAAAATTATCAGAATTAATCGAGAACTCGTGTTTAACGTGGAATTATATTTTGGTAGTTTTGAAATATTTATTTAGCAGTATTAATCATTATATGATATATCCCATGTATAATTCCGTTCGATCGTTTCAATAAATTTCACCGATGGATGGTTGTTTCTTTTTCGGGAATGATGAGTAATACGAATGCCTAGCTCTTATTGATTTCACGGTTGGGTGAAAGCTCACAGAGACCAGTTCTAAGCGAGTGAGATATCTTTGTACGATGAGATTGGTTTTTGGGTTCTCGTCTTACGTTCTACGGATGATTAAGGCGCGAGCATGCGTGCGCGCCACGCACACGCACAACACGCAACACACGCGTGCATCCAGAAAGGGGCGTCGTGTCGATGGGTGGCACAATAGGCACGTGGCAGAATCTAATCATCGCAGAAGACTCAGGGTGAGTCTGTGTTTTTTTTTAAGTTTCCTATTCAACGTGTTAACTCTCTGGAAATTTATTAATTCGTACCAGCGCCAGATCGATACACACATCGCGTCGCAATTATCTCTCTTTGGTGAAGTGCTCTTTCAATAAGAGAGAAAAAGCGAGCAGCAGTCTCGATACAGGAACAAACGTTCTCAACTTTCGAGGTAGTCGTAAGTAAATATTTACAGACTTTTATTCTTTCTCTCTTTTTCTTTTCTTATAAACGACTCAGCTCTGACCATCTACAATGTTGTTAATTAACGCGATGACACCGACACTGTGCTCTCTCTTTCTCTCTCTCTCTCTCGAAGAGAAACTTGAGGCAGACGAATCGAATAAAAGTGCCAAGTCCACATGAATATAATTCTCTTTTTACGATCGGACTTATTATATATTCCGGATGCCATACGTCAAACATATCTCTCTTCTGCGCATTGAGAGCAAAGTATTCCCGTATCTAAAGTTAGTGTTTGATAACTCGACGTTCGATGAAGCTTTTATCGCGCGCGAGAGATTCTCCGTTGTATCTGAAAACGAGCTACGAACATGTGGCACCCGCCTCAGGAGACGCCCCCTTGATACAATCATCGAAGCAAGAGTAGAATATTTCAGTTACAGTTGGAAGAGGGCGGACAAATAGTCAGCGTGAAAGGAGATTTCTTCACGAAGAAGTGGTCGCGAGAAGTGATATATATATATATATATATATATATATTAACGCCGAGAGTATATATATATATATATATATATATATATATCACTTCTCGATATCGTTCGCCAAATATCATACGCAACTCAAATCTTTCTCTTAATTATTAAATCTGAGAGACCGCAACGCGTGTACGCGCAAAACACTTGGCAAAGCCATAAAATATCGGCGGTTCGCGGACGTGGTTGGAGGTCGAAGTTACATAGGATTTCTGCGGTTATCAGTGCTAAGTATCCTGCTACGGGACCCGTAGAATTCCTTGCAGGAAGGACGA